AAAGAAAGAAAGAAAGAAAGAAAGAAAGAAAGAAAGAAAGAAAGAAAGAAAGAGAGAAAGAAAGAAAGAAAGAGAAAGAAAGAAAGAAGTGTTTACATAATCATTTCATGCTTTGATTACAAAATTTATTTCATTACAGTAATGATGAATATATTGGAGGTTATATCAGCACCTTCACTTCTTCAGCTGCAATGGAATTCTTTAGACTTAGCCAAGAATGAAGAATTTATTGTTTTTGAAGAATAAAGAGATATTGAAGTTACCAATTCTTTTCCATCTTATCCTTTGAGGACAATCCAATAAAAATAAACTTTCAAAGTAATATCTCTGCAAACTAGAGTACTGTATGATTTGCTAGAGGTACCAGCTATTTATTCTTTGGGTTTTCTCTTACATTCTGGCTATGTTTACACTAGTAAGGAGAATTCCCATGCTTGTTCTTGTCTTGAAAAATACTACTGGCATATGCATGAATGTATGAAAAGGCAGTTTTGTTAGAGAAATTGTAAGATAATGGTTGGTCACTTCATCAATTCATCCTGATGCAGCTTTTTTTTTGTAAATTGCTGGAACTTTCAGATTGGCTAAGAATCTTGTTCTTTTATTGAGCATAAAGAAATTTGAATCAGCAGGAAGTGAGACTTGTCAATCTAATACAGTTTTATCTTTCCTTGCAAAAGAATTATCCTTGGTTATGTGTCAAAATACTTGTCAAAGCAATATGACCCACTTTGATTCAAAAAAGTAATTTAGCCACATTTATCATTTGAGAAGGAAATAATAAATTTTAATACAAATTATCAGCAAAACAGAGATTTTCTTTTTCTGGCATATATGCAGGTTTCTTTGGCTTTACTGCAAGAAGATTGTGATAGTTACTGTTGCATACATGCAGGAAGATGAACAGGCTGCCTTGCAGTGGGAGACTGATAACTGATTGGTAACATTTTAATCAAAAAGCGTGCAAAATTAACCAGGCACCAGCTCATCACCAGGATCCTGAGGAGCTGGAAGTATGCTGAGGACCTGAGGGCACAGATTATTAGGTTAAACTGGGAAAGCTGAAGAAGAAGATAAAAGTACGGTATGGTTGACATTTTACATGAGCCTGTGTGCATGGGCTGCTATATTTAAGATTGATAACTCAGCCAAGATGTCATCAAAAATTAGATAGTTTTAGGACTGGAAGCTGTTTATTTGTGGGGCAATTTTAGAGACTGGCTTATTATATGTCTTCTCTTTTAAAGTATTTCTCAGCAGCAGTGAGAGATCCAAACCATGCCATTTTAGAAATAAGAAAAGCAAGCTCAGAAAGGTCCACTTTCTTTCTAAACACCAATGTTCTAGTGTCCTTTTTCATTATAGGATTACTACAGGTCTGTGATCTAGATTGAGGAGTCAGGTGAACGTCAAGTCAGACAGGGCTGTGTCTTGGCTTATTGGCTTGTCTTCTTTCTGAGGAAGCTAATGGCCATCATGAGGGCCACGAGGGCTGTGTCTACACTAATTAGTCAGTTTAGACCGCTAGTGCTCTTTTGGAGTGATTTCTTCATCTGTCTTCACATACCAGGAATTGTTTTGTTTTGTTTTTCTGTATTTTTCAGCATGTAAAAAAAACACCCTGTTTTTTTATGAAGGAAGGGAAATCAGAGGCTGTTGTTCAAGACCCACCATGGAGTTTAAGGCTGCATCATCCTTGATCCTCCAAAAGATGTCTAACACAATGCCAACCTGGGATTCAGGAAAGCCTTGTTGGCTCTTCACTCAGCATTTGCAAACCCTGGCACTTGCATTCCTGGTACCAATTTGGGTAAATATCCTACTTTTCTATTAATAACTTCAGAGCTGTTGGTGAAGAGGTTGTTAGAGGTCTCTAGTAGAACCTATATGTTTGGCTCTCAGAGCTATAAAATGAGAACATGTGTGTGTGTGTGTGTGTGTCTGTTTGTATGTGTCTACAAAAAAAAAAAACAAGTTTCACCAAGGCATGTTAGCCAGTGCTGTACTTTATATGAGGACAAGACACGAATATTGATAGAAATGTAGCCCTTAAGTTGTGAAACTATTGAAAGCTCTATGATCTGCTTTAAAAGGGAAAAACAAAAAATCCAAAAAGAAAACACTTCAGTCCAAATCCCTATTTCACTGATCAGGCTGTTATTTTTAAATATACATTTATGCTGTATGTGTGGACTGATTGAAATGGTAGTTATTGCAATATTTTGGAATGGAGGGGTATTGCAGTGTCATGCTCCAGTGTGTGGCTCCAGACGGCCATGTTCCCTTTGTTTTCATGGGGCAGTTCAGTTAAATGTCACACTGTCTCCCATAACCTCGACCTTGACAATAAAAACCGGTGCTGCAAGCAACCATGAGGCCAGGGCAGTGCCACGTGGCTGCAGCTCTCTCAGCACGACATGCAATGGACTTTATTTACTTAGCTGCTTTTAGCCAGCCATGCTGTGGACAGAAAGGTAGAAGCAGTGGTAGCAGCTTTCCTTTTTATGCCATCTCGCATGAAGACAAGGTGCAGAGTGGAGCCGTCAGTCAGTGTGGCCTGCGTAGTGCTGGTGGAAACCACATGAGCAACAGAGAGAGAAGCATGGGGAGTGATTCCCCAGATGTGGAGCCTGGATAAGATCAACCTTTCAGTGATGCAGAACTCTCTAGAAACTGCTTCAATTGATAGAAGTTGGGAACAAACGGACCTATGAACACCAATTCTCTCCTGAGTCAGGAACAAGGAAAAGATGAAGACAGGTGAGGAGAACAACATGGTGGCACCAAGGTCACAGCAAAGGAACAAACTGTTTTGCTATGATTCATGAAGTGCATGGTGAGATGCAGCATTCACCCACAGCCCATGAGAAAAAGGCCCTCATGCTGGAGCTTGTTGGTGCTGAGAAGCTGTGATCTGGTGAGAGGCTTGAACAGAGAGAGAGAGAGCCCTTCATTCCAAAGACAGAGGAAGAGGACCTTGCTTTTATACTCTAGAACAGCTTGTCCTTTAAAACTGCACCCCATAAACTAAATGGCCCCCAAAAAGCAGCTGTGGAAAGACAGGAAAACGCGGGAGGGACTTCTCGTTGCAGATTTTGGGCAGACTGTTATTTGTGAAAATTAAAACCACATTGAAAAAGTTCACAGAGAACTGTCTCCCATGGGAAGGACTCTATTACATAGCAGAAGAGACCCTTCTCCTTAAGTGAACTGAAGAAATATTTTCAGAAGTGACATACTGACTACAGACCCCATGTTATGTCTCCCTTTGCTGTCAGTGGGAAGGAAAGAGGAGTTGGTGGAGTGAGAGAAGGTGTTCTAAAGGTTTTTTTTTAGTTCTCATTATCCTCTTTTAATTCTGTTAATAAATTTTTCTTTATGCCTTTTAAAGTTTTAAGCCTCTTTTGCCCTTAAAGTGTTTTCTTCAAATCCGTATCTCACGACCTGAGTTTTTTCCCCTCATCTTCTTAACTATAGCAGAGGAAAATGAGTAAATGATTTTCCTGGGTACACTGGTGTTTGGTCTTGGGAAAAAGGTTTTAATATGAAAAACATGGAAAAAGCAGGAAAACTACTGATATTCTTAGCTTTGTTTACCTTTTTCTTATCCTTTATGTGTCTTTCATTGCATTATAGTCTGTTTTGTCTTTGTTTAATTCTGTCTTGCTATTCCTCTGTAGTCAAATAAATGCATAATGCATAATAAGATATCAGGCCACTTCTCTATGTAATCTTTTACTTGTGCTGTATTTCAAAAATGGAGCTCTGATATTAATTGAAAATGTGCCTCATCAATTTGAGATACTCAGAAATTATATTTAGCAGGCAAAATATTCAAAAATAGCTGTGGGTGAAAGTAACACAAAATAGGACATTTGTCTTCACTTTATGCATCTGTGTACAGGTAGATAGTCTTCACAGATCACTTCTATATGCCCACTTGACTTTCATTAATGCTGGTGTATACATAGAACAGTGTCCCTGACCAGGCTGGCAAATATCTGAAAGTCTTGAGAAAAAAGAAAAATTAATATTAAGGATGTGTGCTTTCTATTTACAGATGAACCTTAGGCCCCTGAGACAAACACATCCAATGTACCTTTGCTAGCCCTAAATAAGAACCTGATATCCAGTCATGAAAATTCTATTTTAAGTGTCTGACTCACCAGAGACAAGAAAGACATAAAATGTAAAGGTGTAACTGAGAGGTGAATTGATCCTTCCCAAACAAAAGCAAGAACTTGAGATTAGATGGGAATTTTCTACTGTCTACAGTCCATTTCTTGTTTTGAATGGTCTCACCTGTGCTAAGAGAACTGGGAGATGGGGGACTCCATGCTAAATGGAGTTAAATGCTTCTCAAATAAGCTGAGAAAACAAATGAAATGTAGGTCCTTTTATTGTCTGTCTACCAGGAAGGAAAGTTTTGTTAGTTTTCAAAGATTTCCACTTGATATTTTTGTTGAATACAATTGGTTATTAATGAGAAATTTCCATTTCTTCTCAAGGTACTCCAAGGCATCTAGTCAGATTAATTGCTTCAATTTCTTCTTCTTTTGCACCATCTTTTATTTTTGGGCATGATGTCTATCAGAAGCCTATTAATTAAGATGTCTATCAGGCTCTATTAATTAAGATCTGTCAGTCAAGGAAATGTTATCCGTGGAGCCTGTCTGAAATCTGAAGTCCACTCTGTCATGAGAAGGAATTTGCTCAGTCTGTGCTTTCTTCTTTCCTATTACATCATCACAAATGTTTGTGAGAAGAGCAGGGAAAGAGCACTGGACAGCAGTGTTCTGACACTGGGGAGGAATCTCATGGACAAGACTTCCAAATGTGACTGCTGATTCAGGGTTTCTCCATCTAGGACTTTGAACCTGAAATATCTTCAAAGAAACCTATATTTTAGAAGGCATATTCTTAGATATGAGAGTCAAGCTTTCCTAGACACTTCAGATTTTCTACCAAAATTACTGATTTCCTAGCATTGTAATGTTCCTGGGTATCAAAAGCAGGTTAGTAATTTGAAATTATACTATTTAATTTTCTGCCTTTAGACAGACTGAAAATATCTGATTTAGTTAGTATAAGTACATTTGATAGGCCAATACTACAGTATTCAAGATAACGGCAGTAAATAAAATAATCAGAAAACAACAACAAAATTTTTTCTACTTTATATTAACAAGAGACAGGTCCTTTGGAAGAGAAATGTTTTTTCTCAATTGATGTTACACTATTGGAATAAATGACTTTTTGCTTAGCTGTTGCAGTTGATGTAGTTTTCATTTTTTCGGATTGTTTTAATTTATACTTGTTCTGGTTCTTTTGGTTAAAAGCAGATCAAAAATTCAATGAGATTTTTATTTCCAAGCCTGTAAACTTAGTTATTAAAGTGTGATAGAAAATCAGCAATCATTGGCAGTGGGAACAGTGGGTCAATAATAATTCCCATTGTCGAAACCATTAGGGATAGGGAGAACTTGGGATTAAATACTGGTGCATTTAAAATCATGTACTTCTAAATTCTAAACTAGCAACTGGTTGTCACCAAACGTATCACCTAGAAAGGTAAATTTCTCCTGAGTCCTGATTCTGCAAAGATTCTCACACATGCTTCCCTTTATGCACTATTACAGTAATTTAGTAATTACTCAATATATCAAACTTGATCTACTACACGAGGTGAATCTAAAGATACTCTGCCACTGCCACTGCAGACAGGGGCTTCAGAAAGAAATGAGTCTAGGTTCATTCCAGCCTAGGGAAATACATCAGAGGAACTACTGGCTGATATTTTGGATCCACAGTAACTTCTTTACATTTGTCACAGTGGACTTTTATCTAGTCTGCATCAATCTGTTAAGTATAAGTATTCTGCCCACTGAAATGGAGAACACTCATCAAAGACAGGATTTGTGAGGGATGTGTTATTTTTACAGAAATATCTACAATTCACTGGTTCTTTAATGCAGTTTTTGTTTAGTGTCACTAGAGACCATCAGATATGATCTAGTACAGGCTGGTGGAAATGACTTAGCTTTTAACAAGATGATGTTTCCAAGATAGGAAGAATATCTTGACTTTATTTTACAGAAAATACTCAAACTAAAATTGTCTCCGAGCATCTATTTCAGGGTTTTTTAAAATAAATATGGCATTATTACTACTAATTTTAACAATAATCCTGTTGCCACCGAAATAAGGCCTCTATAGTTAATACTCTTTCTTTGAAGAATGTGGCCATCTAGTATTTTTTTTCACTATAATTAATTATTTAAGTTTAAATACTTTTTGCTGCTGCTGCTCCTAATTGCTATATTATAAATTGCAGTTTAATAATTTTTATTGCTATGAAAATGGCGATATTAGATTTACAAAGTTCAGTTAATTGAAAATTAGTATGTAGCGGTAACATCCCTTTGGAAAAGCATGGATTCTGGATGACCTAATGAAAATGTTGAATTACTACTATTATTTTAGAAATATATTGTCATAATCAGTATTTTAATTATTTGTTCTTTACAATTGCAGTTTCACTCTAGAAATGCCTAAATTTCTCATGCATCATGTGAACCTTTCAGTGCCTTTTGTGATGCTGCTAAATTTACTTCCTAATGAATCCATTTATTAACACACTATATGTTGACTCAATTGCTGTAGGTTTGCATAAACAGGTTCATTTTTTAAAAAGAACAGGATGCCATATGTGAATTGAAACACCACTGCACTGCTCTTTAAGAACTGACTGAAAAAATAATTTATCCCTATGACCACACTGACATAAGTCATGTCAGATCTTTGTGACACTTGGTGGCTGCTCTGCTGTTATTTGGCAGCTTGCAGTCACCAGAAGGTCTCTTGCAAGTTACAGATGAATTTGCACTACAGCTGAGGAAGGAGAAGACATGTAAGCTCTTTCCAAACAGATTCCATTTATTTATTATCCCAATCTAGCAGGCTATTGGGAAATTAAATCAAAGAAGATTTACAAGTTAAGAAGTACCAGAGATATCCTTATAAATATATGTGAAGAGCTAAAACAATTTACACTGCACCAGTAGCTAACTTTGGGCAAAAATGGAGAGAACATGGGAAAATGCAGTGTTATAAGTAGTTGAAACTAAAGCATGAAATAAATTAGGGAGGAAAGACAGGACACAAATGTTTTAACTAAAGTTAGATTTCTTGTAAAAACTCAAGATGAATTATCAATACAAAAGAAAGTAAAATAGTTGTTTGTTTTTTGAAATGGGCAATATATGCATATCACCCTTTGGTCTAATTGTGCTCATTTGCTCTGTTTTCTCTAGCAGCCTAATATTGTCAATCAGCACTGTATCTTTGGTTATAATAACATATTCTTAGATGTATCTTTAAACTACACAAATACAGTCTATAAAAAAGGAGGTAAAGTATACACACTTATATGTGTATACATCTATAATCCATGAATAAAGCACTCCTGGAGAGAAGTTATCATCAGCTTATGAGTTAAATGGAGATATTTCAAATTGGGTTCCTCAGTGGTCTGACTTAAGCTTAATTTTATCCAAAATTTCTATGACATTTTGAATAGGATGTAAAGTTACAACGTGAACAATTAAAACAAAACTAGAAGAGTCTGCAAATAGTTGGCTTATCATTCTTCTAATGATCTTGTAAAACTTAGGAATGAGCACTTCAAATTCTTGAAAACATGTTTTTCTTAATATTTGTGCAATTGTTCTTAAAATTAGTAAGAAAAATATGTTTATTTATTTCATTACATTTATTGCTTTCCTAAGTTTAAAAATCTCTTGGTATATTTCCCTGAACTTGAACTGCACTTTTTTTGACTATATGAAAATTTTAGCAGTGTTGTTTTCTACCTGTTCTTAAGACTAACTTTGGAATCCAGTAGTGATCCGTTTAAAAAAAAATAAAAATCTCATTTGACACTGTGAACCTTATGGTTTTCTTATGCATCAGTAGTTGCTTTATAAGCAAACATAGTATGGCATGTAGATGTGGGACAATGTCACTGTCAGTGAGGCTTTTTACAGTACAGGTCAACCCCAGGGATGGTAACCTCAATTGTGTCCTCAATGGCGGCCTATTTATTCCACTTGAAGTATTAGATCTATATCTGTAGTGTAACAACTGACAATTAAAAATTGAAAAGAAGGAAGGTTATTTTATTTTTCCTGTGGGAGACACTGGGAACTCTAAGGCAGTGGGGGAGTATTTTAATTATCTTGAAATTAAAAATAGCAAGTTACGTGGCTCCATGCAATTTTAAATTTACTGAGGGACTAGGAGGACTGTTGTTTTCTCCAATTAGCCTGGTACAGTTTTGTATCATATTCAAAAAAAAAGAGTACATTAATTCCTACGTATTCATTGATATCATAGCTGAATTTACCCAAGCTTCTGACAACAAATAAATATGGGTGATGATGTGATAAGAGTTTGGAGTGGGAGCTACCTGGGGATTGCTCAAGCCTCATTTGGCCATGTGGTAGGAGGGAATACATAGTATACAATTCTTTTGAGAAGAGTTTTTAATGTTCTCCCTGTCTTTGACTCCTTGTTTCCCAATTCTTGTTGTGGTTCTGATTAATTTGACATCCAGGCACATCATAATACCTTTCCAGTGTGTGTGGTATGTATCAAGAATGTAGAGGGTAGCAGCGCTCTGTAACAGACAAATTGGAGATGGAAAATGGATAAACAAAGTGATACAAGATATGGGAGAAATCCCTGTTCATTCCTTGATGTCAGGTAACTGAAACAGTAAAAATGTTCCAGTTAGCATGTTTTATTTAAAATTCCATTCCTCTCAATAAGACTTACAACCTCAATCTCAATAAATGAAACACAAAACCTCTCTGCAAAAATAAGTGAATACGGCTTCATCAGAGAAAATTGTTGCCTGCAGCAGATGAGTTTCTATAGTGTCACTGTGCATATGCTTCTGGAAGCTGAGATAGAAGAAAATTGCACTCCTGAAAGAATCCTCATAAAATCAGAGAATATGCAGAGTTGTAAGAGACCCATCAGGACCATAGAGTCCAGTTCCTGGGCCTGCACAGGACACGCCAAGATTCACACCATGTACCTGACAGCATTGTCCAAATGCTTCTTGAACTCTGTCAGACTGGCACTGTGACCGCTTCCCTGGGGAGCCTGTGCCAGTGCCCAAACACCCTCTGTGTGAAAAAAGCTTCTTCTGATTTCAAATCTAAACTTCCCCTGTGCTAGCTATATGCCATTTCCTCGAGTCCTGTCACTGGACACGAGAGTGAAGAGATCAGTACCTCCCCCTCTGCTTTCCTTTGATGAACATGCCCACACAAAAAAGCTTTGAACTAGAATAGCAAGGCAAAAAGTGTTCCATATTTCTGTAAAAGAGCTACTGGTTTAATTTGAGATTTAAGGGTCTTGTAGGACATGCCATTCATCTAGGGCACTTTGCTCATTCTTCATGGAAATGAGGACTATTTGAGAAGAGGTGTTGGGATGTGTGGGATGGGGTGGTAGCAGGAGTTGCTGGTAATACTTTTTCATTTTTCTTTTCTTTCCACCTTCTACTCCAGCATGACTGCAGTTGTCTTTAAGATAATTTAGGAGTTTTAGTTTATAAAATAACTGCTATTACAGAGATGTAGTAATTGGAGTGCCCTTCAGCTCTTCTTCCTTTCCTTTGTCCTTAATATCATCACTGAATGTTATTAAGAAATGTTTTCTGTGTGCACTTGTGATCGAAATGGATGTTTGATAGACTCTTTGAACTGAGCATTATGCGATAATTTATAATGGTCAAATCCAGAATTCAGCAATGGAATTTCCCACCAAATTTAGACTATATTATATTTAACAGCAGACAGATTAGTAGGTGGTTAGGAAACTTTTCTCCCTCCCCCACTCTCTCCTTCCATTTCTTGGTTGCTCTGTTTCATGCTCCACTTACTTAACATACACAAGCAGCCAGAAGACTGCAGCAAAAATGAGGAAGTTAACCCCTCACTCTCCTCAGTCTGCACTAGGACCAGGTGCAGAATTTGAAAGGCAGAATTTGACTCAATGATGATGACAAAAGAATTTGATACTAAAGTAAATAAATGCCAAGTAAATATTAGCTGAAACTGTTAAGCCTAACTAAATAAAAAAGATTTCTTTTGGATGGAAGTGGGTGAGGCTTATAAAGTTTGTAAAGTATCACCCACTTCTTGCTTTGGGGAGCTGTGTAGATTTTATGGTATCAGAGCTGTGTTTCTTACCGAATATGAGTTATACTTTCTGGTTTTAAGTCAGATGTTTCTTTACTTTTCAGTGTAACTCTATTGGATCATGAGGGACAAGGGAGTTACCCATCAAGATGTCTCACCATGTTTGCTGTTGTGACCTTGATTCCTTCTCTACAACAAATTCACAGCTTTCTTTGAAGACAGCAGTGTTACATATATTGAACTTTTGCAGAACTGCTTGGTCTTCGTCTGAATTTTGTCTCATTAAAATTTTTCATAATAATCATGTGTTGTAAGCATTTCATTTATCAGCTTAAGCATGTGGGTGTACTTGCAAACACTGCAATTTGGAAGGAAATTTGCAACCTCATCTAACAAAATGCAAGCAAGCATTATCATAGACATATTTATTCAAGCAAAAAACCAAAGCCTGCAGCAGGAGTACACACACTCTTAGAGGGTGTGTTGCTGGGTTAAGCTAGGTACTGTAAGTGTAGTAGAAAATGATTTAGAGAGCTAATTTGGAAACATGTAATTGTGTATCATACAAAACCTAGTTCATATAACAGAGCAGTGTTGTAAAGGGGAGTGGGATAAAGAGACAGGGTGCTCTTAAATGAATACATGAAAAGGAAATAAACCCCAAAATACTATTTAGCACATTTCTTGAAATACCTCTGTGGTGAAGGATACAGCAAGTTATATGACTTGCTACTTAAGGTACTAGTACTCTGTTTAATAGTCTTGCATTCGGTTTAGTCTTCTGGTGTTTTATTTTGTGTTTTTGTCTTCCCTCTATTGGTTTTCGCAGTTAGATTTGTTTTGTTAGGGGCAAGATGAGATGAGCTTTATTTTAATGAGGCTTAGTAGAAATACTAAAATTTCCTTTAAAATTATGAAATATAATCTACACACATAGACTTCTTACCCCATAATAAGATTTTTTTATTGCAGTGTCTATGATTCAATTTCCTCTTGAAATAGTGTACAGATGTTTTACTTTAATATCTATTATATACACACTTATATGTGTATACATCTATGACTATATTGCAACTAAAATTGAGACTAACATGCCAAGATTTTTATTTTAAAATATAGAATGGGAATGGGCTATGAACATAAACACTGGGAAAGACATGAAAAATATATGACTTTATGAGCATAGGTAAAGGAATTTTCTTTGGGATCCTGCATCCATTTTGACTACCTTATATCCCATTTATATTTCTGACATCACATAAGATTCATTACAACATCACATAGAATTCATTCATGTGATAAAATCCACAATATTAATTATACATATTGTAAAAATCTATATTCTTATTTAGCTTTTTTGATAATTTCATTCGATGAATCAGAACTGTATCCAGTTCTGAATTTCTTATTTTAAGACATGGTTCAAAGAGATGTCTCTGTTGGCTTTCTCTTTTTTTTTCCAGTCACTTATCTCTCTTCTTAGTTCCTTATGCCTGCTAGACATTTCTCCTAGTTATGGATTGTATTTGATTTTTTAATATCCAGGGCCAAGTTTATTTTCATCAATTCACCTCCTGTGATTAATTCAAGAAGTCTGTACAATTTTTTATTTCTGCTGCCAGTTAGTGAGCTCTCAGCTCATTATTTCTTCCCAAGGCTGTGAACCTCTGTTTCATAACAAAGATGTCCATCCATTTATATGACTCGTCTTTAAGGTCAGCTATTTTTTCTCCAAGACTCCTTTGTATTGACAGCTCACCAAGTGCACAGTGATGGCAAATTTCATGAATGTATATTGACTAATTTGTCAGCATCATTAAATGAAAGAGTAAATGAAACTGATCCCAAATTGTATTCTAGAGAAATTCATTAGGCATGTGCCTTATAGTCTCAAAACTCCTTTTTCAGTGTAAGTCATTTTGGGCTCTTCCTACAACCAGTTGCTCATTTACTTCATATATCTGACACCCAAACTTCCCAGACTTCACCATTATTTTACACTTGGCATGATAAGAGACATTTGGAGATATCCAGGGATATTATTTTTTCTAGTTTCCTGTACGGACATAAATGACATGTTGAAGAAAGTAAGTACAGAATTATCTTTCTCTAGTAGAGTAATTTTTCATTATCTCATCTGTCATTCAGCTCCCAATTTGCAGAAGTTTTGCTTTTCTTCAGAGCAACAAAACCAGATTTTTAGTTGAGAAGATCACTTCTTACCCTTTACTATTCCCCAGTCAAATAGTACCTCAGCAAACTTGAATGAATTTTAAAATATTGCTGTTAAATCACCAGGAATTTTCCATCTTGCACAACAGAAAACAGAGACCCCCTACAACATAAGTGCATCTAGGTTTACCAATATCTCGGTTGTAAATATTATAATTTGTATATGTAGCAAATATGATAAAATATCTATGAGTTTATTTTCTCTTCATGCTATATTTTCCCAAAAGTTCATTGTCATTGTGCTCAGATCAAGAAAAGCATTTATGGGTTTTTTTAATGAGAATAGCATGAAGTGATGCCTTAAGCTTTAGCTTTCATATTATGCACATTCTGTGCTGCATTAGTATATAGCTCTGAACTGCACATAAAGTGTTAGCAAGCTTTCCTCTCAATTTCTTTAGACAAAACAATTCTTTTCCAGCCTGAGAACCAAGGACATCGGGCCCAAAAAGTGTAAAAAACAGCAAATAAATGGCATGGGAGGATGGGACTTCATAACCTGAAGCTGTAATTGGACAATTAACCCCAATATGTAAATGGACCAAAACTTATAAAAGGTTTAAGTTACACATTATAAAACGTGTGACCCATCATCCATCTTGGGTATAGCCATGGCTGGGCTCTTGTGCTGCCCAAGGTGTATCCTTTGAAGGCTTTTTAATGAATATCTACTTTATTCCTTTAACACTGTCTAGCCTCTGTTCTAGGTAGCCTCTCAAGGAGTCAGAAGTGGATTGAGAAGCAGCACTTTAGAATGTACTTCAGAACTTGGTGCTGACACCAAATTGGCCTGACATTGCTATTAAAATAGATCTTTTGTGAGGCAAACTGGAAAACAGAGGTAGGAAAAAAATCATCTCCCATTCTCTTCTATCTTTCATGGAGGATTTTTCAAAGTTTTTCTGAAGCTTTTGTTCAGAACACAAAGGGGGAGATTTGCTGGCTAGAATATCTCCAGGAGGTATCTATTTATTGCAGACCGGTTTTTTTAGGCCTAGTTTGCTTTGAGTGAATTTTGGCTGAAGGCAAAGCCTACAGATCACACTTTTGTAAAATATTTAAAGCATTACTGACACTTCTAGTGCTTTTTAAGTATCCCTTCCAATTTGTATTAGTTTCTTAATGGGTGTTTTTTCCACCTGCCAGCCAGTAATAGAATGTGGGAACAATGCTCTCAGTGACAGCTGGATTATTTTTTTTAATCTCATAGCATAGCACCATAGTTTTTAATAGTGGTAAAACTACCTGAAAACAGTGTGTAGCAGAAGATGAAACAGAGTAACTTTTTCAAATGTTCACTGCTCAGAAAGAAAAAAAGTCAAAAATAGCTGGAAACAAGGATAATGAATTCAGCTACCAAAAGGGCAATTTTTTCCCTCCGTTTCAAGATTTACTCTCTGCATCTGCAACATAAAAAGGAAAAACTCAGTACATTCTCCTTTGAATCTTTTGATTTAATGAAAAGGTACTATTTCTTTTTTATTTTTGAATGGCACCAACTATCATCAATGAAAATTTTACTAAAAAGTCTGCTCTAAAAAGTGACTCTGTAGGATCAGCCAGGTTTAGAATAGCCTAGATGGAAGAAAAAGAAAAAGTCAAAGTCATGGCATGGCATCTTCAATCAGTGCTCAAGCACACCCTGCTGAAGCTTGTGTTACATACTTCTCTAGTTAATGATGTACATGTGCAAACTGTTAGCTATTATTGTGAGCAGCTTTGTGTAGCTTAATGCGGTCTATGACATACTGGCTACCATTAAGATTGCAGCAAAAAATATGCAGCCAGCAATAGGTCTTTGGGAATGCAAATATAGCATCAGTGGCCTTGATAGCATCTCACATTGGAGCCTAGTGTTCAGTCTTGCCATGATAAAATGCTGATGTATCCCTGAGAAAGATCGTTTCTATGACCTCCCCTGAAATAAAGATGATAGTGATTTATGTATTTATTTAAAACTGCATGTGAATTGTCTAAGCCCGGGTCCCTAAAACTTCATTAAATACTAGTTAGCATCTTGCTAGTCTTTCCCTGACTGATCTCTCCCTATGTTCTGCTTCTAAGCAGGTTTCAGCATTTTTGCACATCAAGGTTGGAAAAAAAAGTGTCAGACAGAAAAAAACACCTTTCTGTGATCAACACAATTTCAGTGAAGAACTTTTATTGCCACTGAACATATGCTCTCAGCTTTTTAAAAAATCCACCAAAATAGAGAGCATGTGGAGCAAGATGATCACTGGTCACCATGACAGTCTCACAACTGCTCACAGTAACATGCTATCTCTGCATGTCACAGGGGTTTTACAGTCAGCATGGAAAAAATCACATGATGGTGGATAAAAGCATGGCCAGTTTTGAGACTGAACCTTAAACTTTCTGCCTAATACAAAGTGCCCTATTGTGACAATGTCAGCATAGCACGATGCTCTGCCTGGAATGGAATAAAACAACTCACAGAATGTCCTATTTTGCATAGCTATCATTGGTGAACTGAGAAAGGCATGCTACTTTTGGTGCTGAGTTCTGCTAAAATCAGTCTGATTCATCAACCCCAAAGTTAAACATCTTGATAGTGATGTGAAGATAGGGCAGAACTAAAGCATTCTTATCTAAAAATTCTAACCTGGCACAGCTGGTGTGGAAACATACAACTGTCAGTCAACCACTTTATACTCCAAGAGTCCAGTTCCACTTTCAAATGTCCAGTTCTTTTAATATATCCCTTCTTGAAGTGTGTGTGGAGATTATTCCTTTGGATGAGGAAACCCCTCTAGGTATCTCCTTGAGGCTGAAAGGAAGAGCTTTGCCCACAGTTGTTAGTATGGGCATAAATCTCTACTTAAAATTTGGGGGTTTGAGAGTTTTTTGCTAGCTTTAATATGATTGCTTTAATATAATTGCTTTGACAGAATACATTTTACTATACTATACTAGTAGTTTTAGATTCTATACTCTGCAG